AAAGAAACAACCCCAGTAGGTCAAAAGCTTTCTTCTCTTTTGAATCATTTTAACCTGCAGAAACTATAACGTTAAACATTGATTTCAGTTCTCATGTTCACTCTGTGAATGACTTACAGTAGTGTACGAAGCAGCTGCCCTTTTATAATGCGATTTTTGCATTTGAATCACATCACAGCCGTGCAGCTGCTTTATGGACCAAATTACATGTGTCACAAAAGCAACAAGCTCACCAACATCTGCTTGAAACTGATTTTTAGAATCTTTGGAAAAGTCTTGACCAACATCTAGAGGCCACTAATTTGGTCTATTCTCTTGATCAAAATGTAGCCTCACAGCAATTCAAGTCAAGGAAGTGATCAAAACATGACCAACAAAAGAATATTGTTGTATGGCCAAATTCAAGGCAATGTTGCTTGAGACGAAGGAGGGAATCTAGCCATGCAAGGGGAGATGTATTCATGCAGGCAGTTCCATTCTCTTAAAGTGTGGTCTGGTCAGATCCCAACATCATCACATTCTCTTCTGAATTGAAATCATGTGAGAAATTCTCATGGATCTGTCAAGTAGGTAACTAAGATTCTTATAAGACCCAATCAAGAATTATTTCAGTTCTCATTTCTGAAATTCCCAGCAAGGGTGCCTGGCAGTAACCTGCTAAACTTAACCGAGGTGAGCTCACAGCAAAGTAAGTTTCTTTGGTGAAACTGACAGCTTGGGAAGACTTTGATCAGTTACATAGAAAAGCTCCAGCTCTGGCCAGGTAAGAGTTTGCAGCAACTTGTCTTTGGGAAAATCCTATTACTTCTTGACAGGTGATTGTCAAATCCTTAAAAGACACTTTACCTGGCTAGCATTTCACTCGCCTTTGCTCCTTCAAGAGAGGCGGTGGCAGTGTGGGAATGTCACAGCGGACTGGTAATTCAGACCTACTGGGGTTGTTTCTTTGAAAGAGCTATTGTATATTCCCGCTCTCTGTTCCGAGGACAAGGGTTTGAATCCCACCATCATGGGCAGTGAAATTTAAAATTAAATAAATATCGGAGCTTAAAGCTAGCTTGATGGTCATCAATTGTTGTAAAAGCCCATTTGGTTCATTAATACCCTATGGAAGGAAATCTGCCATCCTTCCCTGGTCTAGCCTACGTGTGACGCCAGAGTCACAGCAATGTGATTGACTCATAACTCTCCTCTGTACTAGCCCAGCAAGCCACTCAGTTCAGGGAAATTAGGGATGGGCTGTAAATGCTGGCATTGCCAGTGGTACACATATCCTGTGCAGGAATAAAAAAGAGTTGTACATCCTAGTTATAGCCTTCATCACAGCACAGGAGTACTCATGCAGCTCTGTCTTGTACCTTGGATGAAGGGAAAGAGGAAAAGCAGCAACAGAAATACCAGGTATCTTCATGTCAGCTGCATGTCTTTCACAGGTATATCTGGAAGGAAGTGAGACCCCAACACAGGGTTTATGTTCAGAGGAGAGTCTTTTGATATGTTTGTATGCCAGCACCTCAGGAGCTTCAAGCTCCCATGCCAGGTCATTCCTGATATTGCCTGGAACACCTTTCTTCACAGTTGAAAGTTGCATATACTTTGCCAGTGGCTGATAAGCATCTTATCAGTGGAAGGCCATACACCCACTCTGCTTCTGACTGAGATATCTGCTTCTCCTAAGGTTTTTTGCTGTTTTCCCCTACCAGGAAAGAAAGCAGAGAGGTAGAAGTTTTCAAAATTATTTGGAAAATAAGAAAAGGGCTGGAAAACCTTTGTTAAGGATGACTATAAGCATGGCCAAAGTGCTAATGAAAGACAATCTCTTGGGTGTGTATTTACTCACTAAGTGGACCTTCCTGATTCAGCATTGCATTCAAGGTATCTTACAATTCTCTGAAGTCTAAATAAGCATCTGAATCTAGAAACAGAGTTAACAGGAAGAAGGGTCATTGTACTCAAAATGTTAACCCTTTTCTCTCTCCACAAATGCTGCCAGACCTGCTGCCTTTCTCCAGTAATTTCTGTTTTTACTTGTTTTGGACCTCAAGCATCCACAATCCCTTGTTTTATTACAAATTATTTTTGGGTAGCTGGAATATGCCAATTGTATATCCAGCCCTGCAGTTCTTGAGGTGACTAAAGTCTTCAGCAAGGAAGATTGATCAAGTCAATAGATGTTGAAAAGATGCAGCAGTTACAAATAAACTGAAAGATGAACAGATTGAGCAGACTACTTCAGAGTGACAGCAAAGATGAAGAAGCCAGTGATGATGAAGAACGGCTACAGTAGCAGTTCATACAAAGCCATAGTCTCATCAACACCCAGTCTTAGAACATAGAACATAGAACAGTACAGCGCAGTACAGGCCCTTCGGCCCATGATGTTGTACCAATCTATTATCCTACTAAGATCAAACTACCCTGCATACCCTACATTTTACTATCCTCCATGTGCCTATTCAAGAATCGCTTAAAAGTCTCTAAAGTATCTGACTCCACTACCACTGCCGGCAGCGCATTCCACACACCTACCACTCTCTGTGTAAAGAACCTACCTCTGACATCTCCCCTATACCTTCCTCCAATCACCATAAAATTATGCCCCCTCATAATAGTCATTTCTGCCCTGGGAATAAGTCTCTATCTATGTCTCTCATCATCTTGTACACCTCTATCAAGTCATCTCTCATCCTTCTTCGCTCCAATGAAAAAAGCCCTAGCTCTCTCAACCTTTCCTCATAAGACCTGCCCTCCATGCCAGGCAGCATCCTGGTAAATCTCCTCTGCACCCTCTCTAAAGCTTCCACATCTTTCCTATAATGAGGTGACCAGAACTGAACACAATATTCCAAGTGTGTCTAACCAGAGTTTTATAGAGCTGCAGCATAATCTCACAGCTCTTAAACTCAATTCCCCAGCCAATGAAAGCCAACACACCAAACGCCTTCTTTTCAACCCTATCAACAGTCTTGCTAATACTTCATCACTGATGGGGCCCACAGTATAAAGTAAGGCATCAGTTTGGTCTTTTGGCCCTTTCTTATCTAAGTTTTAAGCAGTTTTGTGCCAGGTGAACATTTTATTCTAGTCTACCCATTTCTGGGCCTAATTGCACAAGATAATCAATTCTATGTTTCTATATCTGCTAATCGGTATGCCTCACTGCTCGTGGTTTCAGGTCTTTGCTCACTGCTGTCTGGTCTGCCAATCTAGTTTCAAGCTTGTTGATGATGCTTCACATCAGTCCTGATGTCTTGGTGAATCTGCAAAATGTTTTCTCAGGTGTTAACCTCGAATTTCTTTTCCACTCCTGGCTTTATCAATTATCTTTGCCTTTCCTGCTGTCGCCATGTTTTGTTGTGTATTCTTGGTTTGGCACTATTAAACTCCCAAAGGTACACTGCTGGAGTTCATAAACATTTTCATATGCGGGAACTCTTTATTTCCAGGTAAATCTTTACACACAATCTCATCACAAGAGAGTAGAGCTTCTGCCACCCTCTCGATTGCTCTACCTAGTCAGGTACATCAGAAATCATCATTCCATCATCATCGTGCATGCTGCTAGTGTTAACTTCAATACTGAACAGGCCAGGGAACCAGGAGCAGGAGGTTCATGTTACTGGCTGTTCATTAATCAAATGGAACCCCAACTACCAAATGGTTCTGTAGATTGACCAGGGACCAAGTCGAGATTTCAGTTATTGGCTCATTTAGTCATACAGCATGGAAACAAACCTTTTGGTTCAACCAGTCATGCCGGCCATAGTTCCAAACTGAACTAGTTCTAACTGCCTGAATTGGTCCTTGCCCTCCAAATATTTCTTATTCATGTACTTATCCAAATGTCTTTTAAACATTGTAACTGTACCCGCATCCACCACTTCAACAGTTGTTGCGTCAGAAGAGAATGCAAGTTGGTCCAAGGCTGTTGTAGTCAATTTAACGTTGCCCCATTAATTATCTGATGAATATGTCCAAATAGAAGAGAAACTGCATAAATGTAAAATTTGAGACCTGTCTTTAAAAGGAATCTTCTGTGAGCATACCATTCGATTCAGTTTCAACTTAGACAGGGACAGTCAGAGGGGGACAACTTTCGGGGAGGCAATGGCCTAGTGGTATTATAGCTGGACTGTTGACCCAGAGGCCCAAATAACGTTCTGGGTACCCGGGTTCAAATCCTGCCACAGCAGATGGTGGAATTTGGATTCAATAAAATATCTGGAATTAAGAATCTAATGATGACCATGGTTCCATTGTCAACTGTTGGAAAAACACATCTGGTTCCCAAATTCCTTTAGGGAAGGAAACTGCCATCTTTACCTGGTCTCGCCTACATGTGACACCAGAGCCACAGCAATGTGTTTGACTCTTAACTGCCCTCTAGGCAACTAGGAATGGGCAATAAGTGCTGCCTCTTCAGTAATGCCCTAATCCCATGAATGAATATAGAAAAAAAATGAAAATTTAGTGCCATTGTATTAAAAAAATAGTTTTAGAAAGAAAGATGTTCATTTTTCTTAACATTGCTTGGGATTTTAAAAGCTGTATTTTGCAAGGTTCTCAGTTTTAGAACATTCTATAAATGAATCTGCAGGCCTTGAAAATGTGTGATTGTTATAGAATGCCAAACAAGATATCTGTTGTGCTGGTAGATACTACTGTCTGGCCTGTCTGGAATCAAATTTTAATTTTTATCAATGCTTAAATATTCATGTGCTATTGAGAAAAGTTTGAGCTGCCTCTCACAGTTTAAAGTGGTGGCTTCATTCGAACTGGTTAAGTCCAACACTCAATTATTACAAAGTTGTAGTTGTAACCTTTCTGCTGTTACTGCTGTGAAGTCTCAAGTGCATCACAGTTGTACCCAGGAGGTATTCCAAGCTATGTTAACCCCTGCTGGGGTTGTCAAAAGGGTTTAATATCTTCAAACCTACTAAACTTGTCCAACTTAAACACACACACACACACACACACAAAGCTAATGCCACCCACAGCTAATTAATAATGTAAGATCAAAGAGTCATGATTTCTAAAACTGATGAGCGACAGAAAACCAGAATAGTTGCCTATCATTTAGCCTTAAAAATGCCACGTGCTCACACGGCATGCTCAAATAATGTTATTTTTCAAACTTATTTATTGCAGGACTTTACTAGATGATTTCCCATATATTTTTCAATAAAAGAGTCGTACATTTTTCAAAGCATGGAGGTCTCGTGGTGCAGCCAATAGCATCTCTACCTCTGGGTTCAAGTCCCACGTCAGGATTTGATGGTGATGGAATGTTTGTCATAACTCAGACATAAACAGGTTGATTTCTATAGGTCCTTTGGCAGGCGATGAGTTGGAGAATTTCCTGGTCAGCCAAAAGCATGTGATAGTTGCAGTCCAACAAGATTCCTTCAGTAAAACATTCCACACACAATTGTTCTTGCCATGAGTAACTGTCATCCTTGTTCTGTGGAAATATAGACTTTAGCCACATAGACTATAGCCAAACAGACTTTTAAGAACTTGAAAGTAAACTTTTGCATGAGCACAATTTTGTTCATTTGAGAAATAAAATCATATCTGCATCCTGAAATGAAAGAGCTTTTATGCTCACTTTATTCGCTAAAATATTGGACAGATGCAGCATAATTGCTAACTGAATGAACTGGCAATTTTGTGCCTAGAAACTACCAGAAGATAAAATCCAGTCAAGACACCAAGATAAAAAAACAGGTGTACTACTATATGAGATAGTAAGAACTGCCGATGCTGGAGTCAGAGGTAAAACAGTGTGGAGTTGGAGGAGAACAGTGGGCCAGGCAGCATCAGAAGAGCAGGAAAATGGACATTTTGGGTCGTTTCTGAAGAAGAGTCCAGACCCAAAACATCCATTTTCCTGGTCCTCTGATGCTGCCTGGCCCACTGTGCTTCTCCAACTCCACACTGTGTTATCTATATATGTACTACGATATGCTTGTGGATGAGGCTCTGTGACCTTATACCCCTGAGTATTAATGTGAATAATAAACACCCACCACCACTTTTATTTGTTCATAGTTACTTCTCAGGCTTTTTTTAAATATAGAAACCTTTATCAGAGAATAAGAAAGTGGCTATTTGATCTGTGAGCTGACATTTTGAATTAAGTTAATGCCAGCCCTCTGTCATTTTCAACTTCAGGTGGTTACCTATTTCTCTTTTGAATGTTTATGTTTGAACCTGTGTCCAGGATTCGTTACAGGCAGTGAGTTCCCAGATCACAACAACTCACTGCTTAAAAACAACTTTTTATTCTAACTTCCCACTTGTTTCTTTTTGAAGCTAATTGTCTTATAGCTATGTACTAGCTCTGGCCACTGACCCTCCTCTCATGGAAACATTTTCTCCCGAACAAAAACCCATCATAATTTTCCACTTCATGTGATATTTCCAATTGTGGTTAACGCTGTTCATGTGTTTACATGGCCTCAAGCTGAGCATCGAAATGTCATGCTACTTTGCTTAATGGTCAACTTTCAGCAATTTAACTCCTGCAGCTCCAATATAAACAGCAGGGAAAACCTTACATTCCTAACACACTTTTTAACCTCTTTAAGTGACAGCTTCAAAAGGATTTCACACATGCACAAACCGAATTACTCTGAAGAGCAGTTGTGACTGACATTATGTTAACAATTCTGGCAGCTGTTTTGTGCAAGGCTTGACCCTGTAAAAGAATTGATGTGAGATGAATGACTCCTTAATCTGTTCAGGAGGATTGCTAGTCACAACACTTGAAGAACTTTCTGTTCTTATTAGAATAGGTCACGAGTCTTAGGGGCTGAATTTTTTTTCCTTTGCATTGTTACTTAAAAATAATGACCTTAGAAAAAAAAATTATCCTGAAGCATCTCTTTTGAACATTTAGCTCAAATTCTCATCTGAGAATAATGTTTCGGGTCCATTGACCCTGCTTCAGAACCCTTTCTGAAGCAGGGTCACTGGACCTGAAACATTAACTCTGCTTTCCCTCCACAGATTCTGCCGGACCTGCTGAGTTTGTCCAGCAATTTCTTGGTTGTTTCTGATTTCCAGCATTGGCAGTCCTTTGTGTTTTGTTTTCTGTTTTATGGAGAGGGCTACCTTGATTAAAGGACTGATCTAACATTAGGCAGGCAAATAGAAGGTGATCAGAAACCTGTAAACACTTGGAAAGGGATATTACTTACAGTGGAAGTGGAAAGGAAAACAGTGGGAAAGGGAAAGGATTGAACAAACTTGCCTTCGGGGGATGCTCAATTCCTTCTTTCCACCTAAACAATTAACTACTGAGTGAGAAGGTCAACTGGGGTCCTTCTCAGTTCATCAGCAAACTAGTCCCTTATGTAGTCAATTAATGACCAATTAAAGGCTTCAACTCATCACCACCTCAAATACCTGCTGCCCCAGCATGTGAGAAAAGTGACCATCTTCCTTACTAAGAAACCAGAGCAACACCTGCTGAGTTGAGAGACAGGGTTTCATCTGCCCCAATCTGAGGCATGGTGGGGAGTGTTATCTGAGATAATGGTTCTGGAGGAGTTAGTGTTGTTACATTAGCTCCAATCAACCTGATGAGGCCACACAGTCTTGGGAGGTGAAACAGTTTGACGAACATGAGATCCCACTTAAGAAGGATGTGACATACCTGGTTCCTTTTAGTTTTAATTAGACCTGATCAGTTAATGTTAATTGTACCTGTTGCTATCATGTGGTGAACTACATCTTTTATGTAAGACTCTCTTGTAGTATGCCCCAGCTAATGATCAAACAGGGCCTTAAACTCAGCATAGTGAACTATCTGAAACAAAAGCCAATACAGTCTAATGATGAACAGTGGTGAGCACCATTGATTAAATTACTGAAGACAGAAATAGTTTGAGAATCTATTGTACCCAGAAAAGAAAATAAGAAAATTACCACATTAGAAAGACACGGACAGCCAGCAGCTAAAACATGAAATTGAAAATCAATCAGAAGCAATCATGGGATCAGCAAAGATTTAAAGCAGCTCTCCAGGCAAAATCTTTACCTCGGACCTGGTAGGAAACACGGGAAAACAGTATGGGCTAGGAAAAGAGTTGAGACTAGCCACACTGGAAAGAGACAAAGACCGTGGAGAGAAAAAGTTCAATATTTTGAGCTCTAACCGAGTGAAGTTAGAAAGCAAGAGGGAAGACACCTTACAATAACAGCACCAACACTAGACTGAAGGGAAAGAAGGTAAAGGGTATTACTTACCCTGCAAACTGAGCTTCACCACTATCATGAGCAAGCTCAATGAGGCATGGCTACAGCAGACAGGACAAAAGCCAGGGAAGTAATTTATACCAAGGCCACAGCATTGGGAAAGCAGCATCATTTATTTATGGCAATAAAAGTGCAAATATAAAAAATTTGAAGAAAGAGTCAAACAGAAAAAGTAAGTTAATAAAATTTCAAGACTTTTAAAGTTTGGAGTACTAATTTTTAAAATCATGATTTCAGTGGAAAGATTCAGGCTGCATCAAAGCATGTCATTTAAAAATTGTGCCGGAGTACATGTTTTGTGTTCAGGCTTTGCAAGTTGGGAAAGCATCTGTTTTACCTGGGCAGAAACAGGAAAGCTTCTATCTAGGTTACAGAAGGTGGAAAACCCTCCTGAAGATTGCAGGCATCATTTTGATCATTAGAAAATGGTAGGAGAACAGAAGCAAATAGCAGTGCGATTGCTATTTAGCAGAATTTGAAACTTCAAAAGAAGCAACACAACACAATTTTGCTGGTTAACTGAATTAAGTGATCATCTGGAAGAATATCATACAATATTGCTGCACAACAGAATTTAGAAGTCTGAAGAGACTTTGTAACAATATAATTTAAAAATCATTGAGTTAACGCAATGATAAAAGCTTGAAGACAGCAAATTATAGACAGTATTGAGACATTACAGAGTCAAAGGAATACATAAATAAATGAGCTGAGAAGTGGAATTAGAAATAATACTTCCAAAAAGATTCATTGTCAGTGATGGGCCAAACAGAGTACAGGAGTGTACATCTTGAAGAAAACAATTCTTATGATACAGAATTGCTTCAAACATAAAGACTAATTCTGAAGGTGAACAAGTTAATATATAGCCTTATTCAATAGGTCTTGACATGAATATCATTTTTAATTGCCAAAATTGCAAAGATGGTACAGAAATTTTTGACAAAGTTTGAAAAGGTTTTGATGATTATTCTGAGAACAAACAAAATCCTTTAAGAGGCAAGATTTAACAGAAGAGTTCAACTTCCAGGGTAATCCGTAGATAATTTCATTGTCACCTTATACAAAACAGTGGAAAACTGAAAGTATGGTACTTTGAAAGTCAAGACTCATTCATCAACAACTCTTTGTATATCCCGTTTTGGGTAGGCCGAAGAGTATATTTCATTGAGTTTTTGTTCTTACAGCCGTTGTTGATATTTGTCTCACTGTGCTTCTCTAGGTACAGCGTGTAAAGTTCAGAAACCGGCATTATGGCCCTGTTTGTGATGTTCAACACAAACTACTGCAAAGCCACTTTTCAGCAGGAGGTGAACAATGGTCTCTTCCTGACAGCAGATGAGGGCAGCTTGCAGAAGCAATGGGACCCTGGGAGTGTAGATACGATCAATAAGAAGGGGTCTTATCACCACAAGCCAAGTTAGGTCTTGGAGCTTGTTTGAATGTTCTGGTGAGAGACTTTTGGCCAAATGACTTGGACAATTGGTCAGGGAACCAATCTCCTTTTCCTGCAGAGACTTGAGGACATTGTTTGATTACCAATCCATTAGTCAGTGGTCATCAATGACATTTTTCTGCACAAACTACCCTTTGTGCACTTGTTTGGTTCAACAGATGGAAGCATTCTGTGGTAAACACCAGGTAAAGGTAAAAGCTTAGCACGCAGCAGCAGTTGGCATGTGTGTACTGTAAGTCTACAAACAGCTTGACACAGAAGCCTGCAGAGGTGGCCTTCAAGGTATCATTTCCACCTTCAGTTCATACTTCTGCAAAGCAACAACATGCTCCCAGAAACTGAATGATACTTCTTGAGCAACCAATACATTTTCCCAAGCAGTAATGAAGCACGTTATTGTCTTTCTTTTTTAATTTAATTTGTCTGCGGCATTTAGCCTCTTATTATCACTGTAGGAGTTAATTGCTGAGAAATGTTGGCAGTATGTGCTACAGCTGTATTATACATCGACAAGGCTCAGTGAGTGTGGGAGGCACAACTGCCATCACCAAATAATTACATGGTGTGACTGATTACATTAAGTACATGGTGTAACTAATACCTTGAGAACAATTTGCAATCCTCTGTAGAAAACTTTATTAACTTACTGGATTGGTCAGCCTATTAAATAGGAAACCATTCTTGTGTTCTTTGAACTTAAACAAGGAAAACAAAGCCTATTGTGTTGTCATTTCCAAATGCAGTAAGAAAGAAAGACTTGATTTGATATAGCACCTTCCACAACATCTGAGTGTCCTTAATTGGTTCAGAACCAACAAAATGGACATGAAAGCTTTAGAGAGAATGCAGAAAAGGTTTCAGTGTGGTCAAATTTCGGTGATGTAGACCAATTTGAGAAAAGGTGGAAGTAGTGTAACTAACAAAGAGCCAGCAGGGACATAATGGGCCAAATGGCCTTCTTGTCTACAGTAATCATTCAATGGTTTTATGAAGATGCTTTTCTTAAGTAATAGTTGTAATGTAACTTATGCAGCAGTCAAATTATGGACTGAAGGTTCTGACAAACAGCAATGTGAAAATGACCAGATCATTCATTTCAATGCCAGTTGTAAATAAACATGTCGGTCATAACAATTGGGAGAAATCTGCTGCTCTTCTTGAGCTATATCATGGGATCCCATGTGCAGCTGAGATTGTGCAAATGGGTGGAATCTTGTAGGGTGCTGAACAACATGGACTATATTGAGAGATAGTAGGAACTGCCGATGCTGGAGTCTGTGGTATCAAGGTGTAGAGCTGGATGAACTCAGCAGGCCAGACAGCATCAGAGGAGCAGGAAAGCTGATGTTTCGGGTCTGGACCCTTCTTCAGACTATATTGAGTTTTGTGACAGAATTGTGTGAGAATTCCGGCGAGACCTAGCTCAACAGTGGGTCATCTCATTGTATCTTTGATGTATTAAGCAAGCAGCAAGGTTAGTTTCTTGCTTGGCAGTGGTGAGTTACCAATTACAGGGGATTATTGTTTCTTAAATCTCTTATTAACACCACAACTCACCTCCTTGATATTCAGCTTCCTATTTTACCAAACGTGCTGAACAATTTAGACCTTGAGAATTCTCGACGCTGAGGTCACAGCAGGTACCTGGCAACTTCAGCTGACCACCAGCTGTGAGGAACCTGCATGTTGCTTGGAAACAAACAGTAACTCAGGGCACGATCCACGGGTACTTGGAAATGCACACACCTCAGTCACAGACATTGGCATCCAACATTTTCCAGCACCTCTCCAAACCACAATGCAACTGTTTGTTGCCGAGGCAAAAAGAATGGAAAGTCTGCTGCAAGGATGGCTTTGTGCATGGGGACAGCTGATGGACTGGAACAGGCTGCATCTCAGAGTTGCTCACTTGCTCTCCTAGCGTTCACTCACTCACCTAGTGCTTATTTACATGCTCACAGCATTCATGCCTTACCTTACCTTGCTATGCCAATTGGTGCGGTTAACCAATCAGGCAGCTTTCTTTAGGGGTCAGCAGTCCTCAGTCAAGATGGTCATCTTGCTGTGTATCAGTGTGTTACACCAATCTCATACCTGCACCTGGTGATAACACCTTTCACAGCAAACCCTGCATGTGCAGTAAGCAAACAATGTCTCCACGTCTTAGGGGAGTAGTCTTCACCAAAGTCCATGAGGGCACTTGTCTGTTAGGTGGTCCTGGCACAGTAAGTCAAGGGCGGCACCTCCATACCAGTCCAGGAGACTAGGCTTGGTCATTCATCCAATTGGGGTATTCTTGGCCCAGGTTCCGTGCCTTTGAGACAGGCAGACGATTAGTGTCATTTCTAGGCTCCATGGTTGACTGTACCCAGGTGTTTGCGTTAACATGGTGGAGGAGATGCACAACCATCATTGAGAGGTGTAGGCTATTCTTGTCCAGGGCTGTCTGTTTAGGTCCCTCGCAAGGATGAACCACAGTCAATCCGTCCACAGAAACCAAGAGGAAAGGGGATTGGGGAAGAAGGAAGAAAGGGAGCTGCTGCCACAGGAGACTTGGGAATCTATCCATTGAGGTTGGGAGCTGCAGGCTTGGGACAGGGTGAGGGGGAAGACAAATGTGAAGGGGGGGGGGGCACTGTGTTTGTAAGAGGGGGGATATAGTAAACCACAGATGGTTACAGGATAATGTGCGAAGAGGGTCAGTTCATAGTCAGAGCACCGTGGCTTCAAAAGAGGAGAGTGAAAGACCATTCCTGTCATAGTTCCCTCATATGCTGGGGTTATGGGGGTTAAAGCAGGCAATGTAGTGCAGGCCCATGTTAAGAGATTGGCTGGCAGAGCTGTTAGTGCTGGTAAAGAGATCCAGAAGAGTGAGAAGGCAGTGCAGAGGGCATGTAGAGTTCATGGTCTGGAAGGCTAGGGGACAACAAGATTGAGTGAGGGACGATTTTGCAGGCATGATAAGAGAGGCATGGCCTGAGCCTTGGTGAGAGGTGGGGCAATACCAGAGAGAGAGTTAGTGTGAGGTAGCAAAGAGAAGGGGTGTGGAGCTTACCCTGGCAGAGAGGAGAACGTCATTGACCATGTTGACCTCGGACTAGGTTGCTAAGTACCATGGCCTCTTTTGCCAGTCCTCTGGGAAGAGGTCACCCCTCTTCTACGCATTGTCCCTCCAGCAAGACCATGGCGGAGAATCATGGTGCCGCGTTCCCCCCTGTCCAACATCTTTGCACTGTGTCCATCACCAAGAGGGCAGCTTCGGAATGCCAGCACTCATCCCAGCACGTGGCTGCCTTTTAAATATGGTGTCAGCACCAGGAATGCTGGGCTTTTGGTTGGTATCTAGTGAGCAGTAAGTTGTTCCAGGAGCAATGTGTGGTTAGATGGGCATACAGCCAGATGTAAGGACAGGGTAGGTAGTTAATGAGGTGAGTTTGGTAAGATATACTCATAGGCTTTGCAGCCGGAAACTGTCCAAAAAGTTCAATGCGACTCCCACTTAGCAAACAAAAGCACGTAAGACTCAACCTAATGTTGCAAATGTTTTATTAATTGACCATGTATGTGTATCCGCTCTAGTTGTGATTAATAGCAACTGATCATACTTGAGGGAAAGACGA